CGAGAATGCAGATGTTAACCGCCTTTGCTTTTTTAGCTGAGTAGCAAATAGTGATAGAACGATACGAGTACCGAGTACAGAATATCGATACTTTTCATGAGTACTGAGTAGTATCGAGAACTCGATACTTTTTCACAAGTACTGAGTAAATATCGCGAATGCCGAAATGTATCGACGAATTAAAAACTTTTCTAAGTAATTTTTTTTTAATTACCCAATAAATATTGTAGCGAACGTTCGAATATTAACTTCAATATTCAATATGAATGTGATGAAAATGAACATAAAACTCATTTACTTCAGTATTTTCATAACTCAAAAACCGAAAACCCAAGAAACACGCTTTTAAAGTTTTTAATTCACATAACGTCACCCTCATGCCAGAAGCATGAATGTGCAAATTTATCAGTTTTGAGTTATTGGGTTGACTTGGTTAATCTTTGGATTTTCTATGTTATACCAAACACGGAAAGTAAATATTTTAGCATTTCAATTGCATAAATGTAGAGCTAAGTGTCGCAAAAAAAACTTGCAAACTTGATTTCCCAAAATGTTAATTTTTACACATTCCTGTTTATGGCATACGGACGACGATATGTATACTCCCATACTAATAATAAATATATATTTTGTCCTAGTGAGCTCCTGGTAACTGCCACAGTTATGAAATTTTTACACAACCTAGATGAAAATGTAGCGGTCATTTCAACATTGGCTTCGGGTAAAAATGTTTAAATAATTGAAAAACGAATATATTGCCTCCCCTTTGATAATGAATGGTGGAAGAGGATAGTCTTTCGTCTCGACAACTTGGCCACTCTCCAGCATAAGGCAGCCGTCGTTAACCCATGTATTCTACCTTCATTGTGAGCCCATTCTTGAAGACAATTTTTATAAAAGAGAGCTTATCTTTCCAATAAAGAATGGGCTTCACCACATTTGCTTCTCGTCTTCTACATTTACATTTCATTTTCAAAGTAAAGTTATTTATAAATACATGTACGCGTCAAACAATTATAAAATATTCGCTTTTAAAAACTTGGAAATAACTATCGCTTTTCTATATATCGAAATTTTTGAAATATCGATCTATCACACCAAAAAACATTTGAAATTTCACATCAATATTTAAGACTCCTTGTTAAATAATAGTTAAAAGTAGCATGCATTTTTGCTTAGTGGAATTCATTTTTTTTATCATTTGTCTTTGACGTTTCTCCTCTGTTTACCAAAAGTAATCGATAAATCAGAGATACAGACGGAAAAGTTGTGCTTTCAGTGCAGGATTATTTTATAACTTGGGTTTTCGGAGAGAAATCTTGTATTCTTAATTACATATTGGAAAGTCAAACTCAACCTCACTTTTTCTTTTGTTTTACAAATTTTCACTCTAATAAAATATTGTGGTTGTTCACACTTGCCTGGTTATCAGCTTATCAGGTTAAAAATAATTTTTCTTTGGTGTATTTTATTGCTGCACAACAACATTGTAATTTATATATTTTATATATTTTATATTTCGTAATGCCTCACAAAGTATTTTTGGGTAAAGTATTTGGGTATGTATTTACATTTTCAGCGATCTGGCATTACATACTTCGCGGCCATCGCTCAACAATTGTGTGTTTACGATTGTTTGGAATAGAAACTTATTTTAAGAACAATTTTATAAACATTAATTGTTAAAAATTTAGTAAAAACAATGTGCATTCATTCCCTGCAGGGAGTGACGTTAGCTTATACCTAACTTTAGTCTGTTTACGCGAACACTAGTGCTAACTATTAACTGTGTATTTTGTTCGAAAAAAGCTAACTACTTTTGTGGGGCGATGACCGCAAAAAAGTCAGACCTGGATACCTCTGCATTACATGTCAACTAACTTGTAACTAACTACTTTTGGACATAAAATATCAATAAGAAAAACAAAATATTTTTTTGTTTTTTTACTTTTTTATTTACTTATTTATTTACTTTATTTTATTACATTTCATATTTGTTTACATATTCTGCTCTGGGTGGCCCCATATTCGAACACCGTCAGACATAACTTCAAAATGATAGTATACAATTTCGATCTTCCTTTTATTTGTCCTGAATATGAGAAAGAATCTGCGAAGTGTAGAAAAAAAGTGTATTGAAAGTAATTTTTGTATGAGGATATTTAATAGAAACTTGTAAAGAAAACCAACTCCCGATTGCGTCTGCATGACTCCTGCACGACTTTACAATTCACTTCAAGTTGGTTTTGTCATAGCTAATTAAAAGTGAGGTATTAATCGAAATCTCGGCAAAAAGCTAACTATAAGTTGGTTAGTTTTAACAATTGATAATTTTTCACTGCAGGGTTGTAAAGAAAACCAACTCCCGATTGCTTCTGCATGACTCCTGCACGACTTTACAATTCACTTTAAGTTGGTTTTGTCATAGCTAATTAAAAGTGAGCTATTAATCGAAATCTCGCCAAAAAGCTAAATATAAGCTGGTTAGTTTTAACAATTCATAATTTTTCACTGCAGGGTTTCTTTATGAAAAAAAGGTGTTATAATAATAAAATGAAAAGTGATTAGTGCAGTGTATAAAAAGAGTGAAGTAACGGGGAAATTTAAACAACAAATAACTTTAAAACGGTTTTCATTTGTACACAAATTCTTGAAGATATCGGTCAACGAGCAGTTCCTCAGCACCTCTGAGAATTTCGCTAAAAATTGGTTATACTTTGCCTGATATAGGAAATGGTCCATTATTGGAAACCTCAGCCCAGCAGCCTTCCGGATATCCGATCGGATATCCGAATCCAGCTCTTATTTTTTACATGGTATCCGGAATCCGGTTATCCGGCAAAATCCCTATCCGGCACATCCCTAGTTAAAAGAAAAGAAGAATAACTGAAAGTATTATTTATTTTTCATTTTCCAAATGTGAAAGATCTGTTGGCAGACATAAATTCTTACATTTAGAAATTTTACGTGCAAGACCTCCAACAATTATAAAATTTAGCTATCAGAATTTTAATCATAAAAAAAATATTGGGTAATGTTTTCAAATATAAATGTATGGATGTACGTACGGATACATTTGGTAATATGAGGATATGTTTTCATTCATTAATACTTATATTAAGCGATTGTGCAGGTTTAACTCACATATATTAAAGTTTGTTGAACAGATGTAAAAAATAAACCATATAAATATATAAAGTATGTTATTTGTTTTGTCTTATTTTATGGCCTTATAATAATTATATTCAACAATTTTTATGAGCTTGAGGCCGTTTTTAGTGAAAACTTATTGTGGAAAAGCACAACACTCTAATAATAGAAATATTAACAAAAACCATCAAAACCAACAACCACATGATCAAGTGAATTGCAGCGGAATAGCTGCGCTTGATTGTAGTTGGCTTAGCAAAGTGAAATAGTGGAAATAAGCAACAAGAATTAACAAGGCAAACTTAGCACAGTGCGTAGGCAACTGGCTGAGTCAGTGGTGATCGTCGGTTCGAATCCTACTGAAAGAAGTCTGATGAGGAAATGTGGTGATTTCCGAAATAGCTATCACTTCTACCATTTTTTCAAAATTATTGTTGCTTTTCCACAATAAGTTTTCGCTAAAAACGACCTCAAGCTCATAAAAATTGTTGAATATAATTGTTATAAGGCCATAAA